CACTTACCATAAATCCTGCCCCTAAGTTAAACAACCTTGCTGTTAATGTACTTCCATTGTCCTATACATTGCTTCAGAATCCCCCTTTCCCTATGGTCTTCAAGCCCTTGGTCTCGGGGTTAGGTAACAGCACGGAGATCGACCATCTTGTCTCGCAACTGCCCGAAATACAGACGTGGCTTCTGTTCCTAAGCCCCTATTAAATTTTTCTTTCTAAGAAACTGGATTTGTCACTCTTTCCTCACCTCTCAGCTTCCTTGGACTTTGGGGGTATGTTTGCATAGATCTGCTCCCCACAGACACAATATCAGCTTCTTTCTACAGATGAGGAAGGTGAAGCTTGGAAGCTTAACCAACTTGACCAGACACATGTAAATGCCAACATTGAAAAGCAGATATTCCAGACTCCCAGTCATTCCACAGGCACACCCCTCAGTGAGTTTGTAGTTGAGGCTGTTTCCTGCCCAGGGAGCAGGGAGGCTCTCTAGCTTCCCCAAGCTAGTGTGCTTCCGCCTGTGTCTGACTTCCAGGTCTCTGCCCTTTCCAAGCGCACTAGGATGGGCTTTGGGTGTGTAAAATGCCTCAGACAGTATAGATCCACACAGAATGGGCATATGCAGCCAATCAGTGTCATAAAAAAGAAGGAAATGACTGGGCCCCTGTGTGTTCAACATGGGGAAGGTGTCTGTGCAGCAGAAGAAAGAGGTGCAAAAGCCCCCAGTGCCACAGGCCAGAGGCAGCAGCTTGATCCCATGTGGGAGGGTTTGCTTTCCCCTGCCAAAGCAATGGGCTGCTGCAGCCTTGTGCTTGTGGGTGCCCTACCTGGACCTGCGTGGGAAGTGTAGGCAAGGAGAGTGCCCCCTTCCCAAGCTCATCCCAGCCACAGCTGCCTTTGTGTTCTGGCTTTGGGACCCCTGAGGAAGCCGGCAGGAAGATTCTCTATTCTCAGTAGGGTTGTCACCAGGGCATGCTTGGGAAGTGAGTTCTCTGGAGTCACCCTCCAGGGGACAATGCCAATTCCAGACACACTTACTGGAACCCCTACACTCATGACCTTTTATTGAGGGTTGAATTGTGTCCCCCAAAACGATATGTTGAAGTCCAAACCTCTGGTATCTATAAATGTAATTTTATTTGAAAATAAGGTTTCTATGAACTAAATTGTCTTCCTCCAAAATTCATATTTTGAAGCTCTAGCCCCCAATGTGACTATACTAGAGACAGAGATCTTTAGGAGGTAATTAAGGTTCAATGAGGTCAGGAGGGTGGGGCCCCAACCCAAAAGGACTGTGGCCTTATTAGAAAAGGGAAAAAAGAGCATTTTCTCTCTCCTAGTATATAAGGACACAGAAAGAAGGTAAATATCTACAAGCTGAGAGTTAAATTTGTGTACCTTGATATGGAACTTCCAGCCTCCAGAACTTGAGAAATACATTCCTGTGGTTTAAACCACCAAGTCTATGGTATCTGTTTATGGCAACCTGAGAATATTGAGTCAAGTGTCTTTTGCAGATGTCATTATGGTGGGTCTTAATCCAAGAGAAGAGATGCACAGGGAGAGGTGTACAAAGGGAGGAACAAGCCAAGACACAATGGGACAATGGCCAGGGGAAGATGGAGGGAGATAGAGGTGAGGCAGTCACAAGCTAAGAACTGCCAGGAGCTACCAGCAGCTGGAAGATGCAGAGAAGCATTGACTCTTGGAGGTTTAGAGACAGTACAGTGCTATTGGCACCTTGGCTCTTTTGAACTTCTAGTCTCCAGAACTGTGAGAGAATAAATTTGTTAGTTAAGTCATCAAGTTTGTGGTGGTTTGATACAAGAGCGCTAGGAAATCAGCATATCCATTGATCCAGGAAAGCCTGTTAGAATGCAAATATTTGGAAAAGATACTACTATGCAAATGTTTGGAAAATATATTCTTCTTGATTCTGCCTTATGGATTTTTCACTTCAGTAAACTATTCTCAAAGTTTGGTTCTGGGACTGCTATTGGAAATGAAGGCCTTGCAGCACGTTTGGCTGTGTTAGTTGAGAACTACCACTCTGGGAACATTCTCAGCAAGCCTCGGCCCTTCTTTTCCCTTGGCTTGCATTGAGGAGGTGGATGGGATTCTGCTGTTCAGGCCCATGACCTTTATGGACCATATCCTTTGCCTGCTCTGATTGGCTGTTGGAGCTTTCTAGCATGCCCTCATTAATATGTATGATTTATCTCTGACTTCAGTTGGAAGGTACAGTCGCTCTGCAGTTGGCATGCACTCATGGTGACTATGAAAATATAAAATAACATTTTATATAAAATAACATTTTATGAAAATATAAAATAACATTTTGGCTTACAGACATTTAGACATAAATTGTGTCTCAAAATTGGGTGACTATTCTAGTTATCTGCCACTCAATATCCTTGTGCCAGCCCTCTCTACCCAGCATCAAACTAAACCGTGAGTGGCACTATAGAACATCACCCCCGGGTCCAGGTTACTATGGGGACTTAGATGCCATGCTCCCATTGGGCAGCTGGGTCATGCCCCTAAGGTAATATTCCCTCCTCTTTCTTCAGCAGGAAGCACCCATCGCACAAAGAAGTAGGAATAAACAGGGGTTCATCAGGAACAAAAGATACAGAGGTTCTTCTGGAGCTTGGGTACATAGCATAAGAGGGAAGAGTTCTCACAGGTAAGAGTAAGTTTTCCTTTGCTGGTGGCAGTGGGACCTGTAGGGGAAGGAATTGGGGGTACTGACAGGAAGACAGAGTGGCTGCCCAAATGAACAGAGTGTTTGCATGTGGCCTTTAAGGTATGTTGTGTTAGTCTTTCATTGCTGGTTATATTCATTCATTTTCATACTGCTTATAAAGACATACCTGAGACTGGATAATTTGTAAAGAAAAAGAGGCTTAATGGACTCACAGTTCCATGTGGCTGGGGAGACCTCACAATCATGGCAGAAGCTGAAAGCCACATCTTACATGGCAGCATACAAGAGAGAACCAAGGACCAAGTGAAAGGGATTTCCCCTTATATAGCCATCAAATCTCATGAGACTTTTTCACCAAGAGGAGAACAGTAAGGAGAAAACTACCCTCATGATTCAATTATCTCCCACTGGGTCCCTCCCACAATACATGGGAATTATGGGAGCTACAATTCAAGAAGAGATTTGGGTGAGGACACAGTCTAACCATATCACTGCTGCAACCAATTACTACAAACTTAGTGGCTTGAAGCATCACAGATTTATGATCTTACCACTGTGGTGGTCAGAAGTTTGAAATGGATCTTCTAGGTCTAGAATCAAGGTATCAGCAGATCATTTCTTCTGGAGGCTCTAGTAAAGAAACAATTTCCTCGCCTTTTCCAGCTTCTAGAGGCTGCCCTCCTCATTCCTCGGTTCACAGCCACATTCATTTCCATCTCTGCTTTCATTGTGACAAATTCTCTGCCTCGGACCCTCCTGCTTCACTTTTGAAAAGACCCTTGTGATGACATTGGGCCCACCCAGGATTATCCCTCATCTCAAGACCTTTAGCTTAATCACATTTGCAAGGTCTGTTTATTGTGTCAGGTAATATTTTCACAGGTTCCAGGGATTAGGGTGTGAATAGCTTGGGAGCTGGGGGATATTATTTCATCTACCACGCATATCTCTACCTCATACAGGCAAGCACTTGCAAAGTGCAATGTGATCCTCTAGAGCCACTGTCCTCTGAGAGCTGAAATATACTCTGAAAGTCAACTCTCAGGCCACAGCCTCCTGTCCATGCATCTCTCTCATCACCCCTCCCATCACTTTCACCCCACCCTCTTTGTCCCCTAACTCATGGAGAAGAAAATCTAACCAGTAGGAGTAGAATTTGGCTTTTGTCTTTATCAGTACTAGAGATTTTTTTTTTTGTAAAAATTCTCTCAACTAAATTGTTTTTATTAACATCTGCAAAATGTGAATATCAACTCTCTTCATGTGAATGTTAATAAGATGAAATGAGCTGTCTCGGCTCCAAGCTGTGCAAGCTAACCGCTCAGGAGATGTTTCTTTCTTTCCCTCTTGTTTCCTTGACGAAAACCTCCCCTTTGACATCTTCAATCCTGGAGCACTTCTTTTCTGAGGCCTTGGCTCACCCCCATTGCCCACCCTTTTCCTGCTGGTCCGCATTTCTGGCCTCTGTTTTCTTGTCTTTACCATCTCCCTGGACAATGTCATCCATTACAATGACTAGAACCATCTCTCCTGTTACATACGATGCCTTTCAAACTCCGATCTCCAACTTCCAAAGAGCTCTGGACCTTTGTTCTAACTCCCCAAAAGGTATCTTCCTGTGTGACCCGTAGCACTGTCAACTCAAACAAGAACTTTCCTCCCTCCTGCCTTGCTCTGGTTACCCTAGGGACTGGGCCGTGTGGGAAGATGTGTGACGAGCTCTTAGTTGACCCTCTTCTCTGAAGCTCTACCTCTCGAGAAACTTGCAGGGCCCACTGTTTTCCCCATGCTTCTGCAGGCCTAGTGATTGCTTTCCCTGGCTTGGCTTCTTCTCCATTCCTTATTAGTAGTTTCCCAAGCTTACATATCTATCAACAGTTACTTCAATTAAAGTCTACCCAATTTCCACAATATGTTGGTGGCATAGGTTTTCTACTGGGAATCACACAACTATGATAAGAATCAAAAAATATTAGCAAATGTCTATTATTATTGGCCTATATGCTGGAATATCCAACAAGGACCTAGAGTGTATCTTTACCCATCAGTCTACAGGTGGGAACTACAGGATGAGATTTGTGTGTGTGTGGCCACCACTGTGGAAAATGTGCCTCCACAGGAGCCTGAGAATACTTTGCTTCATGTTTTGTTTTTTTTTTCACTTTTTCAAAGAGTTCCTCCATATCTGCTGATGAAACTCTTGAGGCTTGTTTTGAAGCAAGTCCTAGGTTATTAATGCCCTACCTCACTTCTCGTACTTTTTCCCAAGGACATTTCAATGGCAAACACATACCTTGTGCCTAAGTTTGCAGCTTCTCAGTCATCTTTCTTCTCCACTGAGCTGGGAGCACTTTACAACACTGGGAGCACTTTATTTTAAACCCTTACAACTTTTCTTTGGCAGATTCCTGTAGTATAAATCCAACAAAAACCCTGATTACAATGGAATGTACCAGCTCATGTTGGAAAAGGTCACTCCATTTCATGACATCCTATGACACATACAGAAAATCAGCTTAGTCAGAAGCATGTGCCATATGAGTAACATTTGGGCCTGAATTGAGCATTGTGCGGTATAGCTTTAGCAGGTGCTCCTATCACTCTACAGTACCCTGTATCAAATGGGCAATGCCAGATGATGCCAAGAAACTCCAGTGAGTGAGTACAGAAAAATCTCCAGTGTCTGCCTGTTACAAGCAGTCTCTGTACCCGGTACACTGCAGTGCCCAAGAATGAGACCATGTCCAAAGCCAAATGGAACACCAATTGCAAAACAGAAGCTATAAAGGCCAAACAGGGGAAGCACAGAATGCTGGTCTTAACTTTCTTGAAATTTGTTCAAGTAGCTTTGGACGTCACAAAAAGATGAATCAACCATTGGCCAACAATGGAGAAAATACCCAGAGAAAGGACAACCAGAGTCACCTGTGACAAGGAGCAAGTGTGAAGCTCCTATATGAGAGTCTATACTCTAGGTGGTAATAGATGATTTGTCTCCAAATTCCAACAGCAGTATATATTTAAACCCTGAAATAATCTTCATTTGGAAAACATCATTTTGTGAATAATAAAAAATAAAAGGAATAAATGGTTACCTTCAGGTGGGTTGGAATTGACTGAGAAGGAGCACGAGAGAACTATCTGGAGTGATGGCCTTGTTCTATATCATGATAAGGGTTGAATTGTACACATGTATGCATTTGTCAAAAGTTTAGAATGGTACCTGTAAAACGTATGCATTTCCCTTCAGGCATTTTTCCCCTAAAAAAACACACACAAAGAAATATTGAACTCTTACTAATGATATGCACATAGAAATGTTCACAAATGACACGTACTCACGGCTGCAACTTCCTTCAAAATCCAACACAAATAACATGGGCTGATGGATGGATAGAGAGATGGATAGAGAATGGTTAGACAATAATAAAGCACATATAACTAATTATTGTAGATTCTATGAGGTGGGTGTGGGTATTTTCTGTACAATTCTTTTCGTTTTTTATGTTTGAAATTTTTCATTTAAAACTGTTGGAAAAAACCTCAAACAAACTGATAAGATAAATCCTAGGGCTTCTCATAGAGTTGAGACTATTTCAACATAAATGCCATTAAGCTGTAAAATTATCAAAATATTTCTTTTAGAAATGCAGTCCATGACACAAGTAACCCAATTTCCTTCAAACTAAATCTGGTCATAAAAACCTGTCCTTAAGGAGATCAACACATAGGAAAAAACATGAAGGTTGCAAGATTATAAGACATGCATGACATTGAAGAGGACATTTTTAAAGAAACACTTCAGGGCTGAGTACTGATTCAGTTCCTATCCCTAGCAGATCCACCTGCTGTCCCCCCACCTCCAAACCACTAAATTCATAGAGGTCAAGAGGTGTGACTCATTTATGGGCTATGGGCAACTGCTGGGAATCCTGCCACATGGTTGGAGAAAATTACAGACTCATACTTGCAGTTGCTTAAGAATATGGTTAAAATCTGGGCCCTTTAGCTCTTATCTTTTGTATAAAGTGTACAGTTTGAAAGGTCCACATCTTTTTTCATAATTGAACATTGTATTATTTTTCTTTCAGCTTTATTGAGGTATACTTGACCAAAAATGCAGGTATTTGAGGTATACAATGTGATGTTTTAATGTATATAATATTGTGAAATGATTAACATAATCAAGCTAATTAACCTATTTAATCACCTTCTCTAATTATCTTTGTGTGTGGGGATAGTGAGAATCCTTAAGATCTCTCTCAGCAAATTTCGAGTATTCAATAAATTATTAACAATTGTCACCAAGCTGTACATTTGATAACCAGAACTTATTCATCCAATAATTGAAAGTCCATATACTTTCACCAACATTACCACAATGTTCATATCTTGACTCTCTTTTTGGAGTGACTATCAACAAGATGACTCTATATTTTTATGTCAACTTCTGACTTACATAATAGAGGGGCATGTAGTGAGTACCCTGTGCAAAGGAGGTGCTGAGGAAACACTGGTTGATGAAAGAATGAATGGATGGATGGGGGCAAGATTTATCAGAGATACTATGGAAGAGAGGTAAAGAGATTCACACAGAAGATTTGACATGGATCATAATAATGTAAAGGCAAACATTCAAAAAGAGTTATTAATCCAGAAAAAGCTGGAGAAAGAGGCAATGTACTGTGATGCCTTTGGAATCATACAACTTTTCTGTAGCCTGGGGGTGTGATCTTTGGACAAATGCTAAACCTCTAGGAGCCTCAATTTTCTCATCTGTTCAAAACAACAGTAATTATAGCACTTACTTTTAGATTCATTATCAGAAAATTAAATAAGTTGGAAAGTTGCTGGTGGGGGCTACTGGACACTCAAAACAAAGAAGGGAAGGTGAATTTAAAAAGCCTTCATCTGCTGGCCTAGCCTGTTGGACTGGCTTACAGCTGAAAAGGAGAAAAATACCACAATTCCTGTTGGGTTGGAAAGTCACCATTTTTGGGTCCTAAGAAGGCAATGGAAGAAGGCACCGAAGTGGGAGAATCAGAAAACTGCCACAGTGTTTAGGCATTTCTTGGGAATAATCCTACTAGGAGATGTATTTAAGGAACACAAATATATTCCTGGTGGAGGTGGAATTGTAAGAAAATGAGTTGACGGTAATCACCATGGGACAGATGGAACACTAGGGACCCCAAGGGCTTCAAGAGGAAATGCTTTTAATTAAGCAATTATTTGCACACCAGCAGTGGTCATTAAAAAATATTTTATATTGTTATCATTATTAATTGCATCTCATATCTGTAATTCTGATGAAAGGATAAAATAGAAGAGATGAGGGTTTTGGATATATTTCACTGCTAGGACAAAGAAGGGCATTAAAAAAAAAAAAACAGCAGCAGAACTAACTCATATATTTGACGACATATATGGATACCAGACAATCAGGCTGGAATTCTGGTGGAAATTGCACAGAACCCCCAAGAATAGTGTTTCCCACTGTTTTCTACTCCAGTTGAGTTGGAAGAGTTGCTCCTCAAATAGGACACATTTAGATCATTTTATTAACTTATTCCATGAACAAAGATGAAATATTTTCATGGCAGTAAGAAGGCAGTGCTGCCAACAGAACTAACACCTTTAAGACATGGAAAACAAGTATTTTATTGCACTCACAGTGTATACAAAACATCATGTAATGTACAACAAAATTCCTCCTTAACATTTTCCTAGGATTAAATGGAGAAAAATTCTGCTAGTGCGAAGTCTTCCTAAAAAAATTGATCAAATTCTTAAGAAATCCAGCATTCATTATCTGAGTTTGGATTTCTCAAGTATCAAAGATAACAGTTATTGATTAATTAAAAAGAATTTAAAAGCAGTTTCCCACTAAGATTTTTGCATATTAACTAAAGTTACATGGCAGAAATACTATAGAATATACTTATGTTTTCTTTGATAAAGCAAGAAGTTACTTTATCTTTCCCAACATTTAAAAGCCCTTTGATTTTGTACTTCAGGCCACATGAGGCTCAAATAGTTTATTCCAATATTCCCCTAAGTCATGGGCTACATTTTGTTTTCCACAGTATGGGGATACTTTTGCCATTGGTCAAAAACTGTTTTGAGAGATAAAGAAATTTTATTTGTCTACCAAACCTTGTACAAAAAGTCTGCTTTCCTCACCCCACCTCCATCTTCCATCCGGGGGACCTACCTCCAATATTTGATGGAAATTTTGCCTTGCTTGTCAGCCTCTCAGATCTGTGGGAAATCTCTCTCTCTCTCTCTCTCTTAAGATTTTAAAAAAATTATAAGTTAAGTTCTGAGATACATGTTCAGAACATGCAGGTTTGTTACATAGGTATACATGTGCCATAGTGGTTTGCTGCACCCATCAACCCATTAGTATTTATCCTAATGCTATCCCTCCCCTAGCCCCCCACTTCCCGACAGGCCCTGGTGTGTGACGTTCCCCTCCCTGTGTCCATGTGTTCTCTTTGTTCAACTCTCACTTTTGAGTGAGAACAGGCAGTATTTTGTTTTCTGTTCCTGTGTTAGTTTGCTGAGAATGAAGGTTTCTGGCTTCACCCATGTCCCTGAAAAGGACATGAACTCACCATTTTCCAGGGCTGCATAGTATTCCACAGTGTATATGGGCCACATTTTGTTTACCCATTGATGGGCATTTAGGTTGGTTCTAAGTCTTTGTCATTGTGAACAGTATTGCAATAAACATATGTGTGCATGTGTCTTTATAGTAGAATGATTTATAATCCTTTGGGTATATACCCAGTAATGGGATTGCTGGGTCAAATGGTATTTCTGGTTCTAGATCCTTGAGGAATTGCCACACTGTCTTCCACAATGGTTGAACTAATTTACACTCCCACCAACACTGTAAAAGTGTTCCTCTTTCTCTACATCCTCTCCAGTATCTGCCATTTCCTGACTTTTTAATGATCACCATTCTAACTGGCATGAGATGGTATCTCACTGTGGTTTTGATTTGCATTTCTCTAATGACCAGTGATGATGAGCTTTTTCCATGTTTGTTTCCCACACAAATATATTCTTTTGAGAAGTTTCTGTTCATATCCTTTGCCCACTTTTTGATGGGATTGTTTGTTTGTTGTAAATTTGTTTAAGTTCTCTGTAGATTCTGGATATTAGCCCTTTGTCAGATGGATAGATTGCAAAAATTTTATCCCATTATGTAGGTTGCCTGTCCACTCTGCTAATAGTTTCTTTTGCTGTGCAGAAGCTCTTTAGTTTAATTAGATCCCATTTGTCAATTTTGGCTTTTGCTGCCATTGCTTACGATGTTTTAGTCATAAAGTCTTTGGCCATGTTTATGTCCTGAATGGTATTGCCTAGGTTTTCTTCTAGGGTTCTTATGGTTTTAGGTCTTATATTTAAGTCTTTATTCCATCTTGAGTTAATTTTTGTATAAGGTGTAAAGAAGGGGTCCAGTTTCAGTTTTCTGCATATGTCTAGCCAGTTTTCCCAGCACCATTTTTTATGTCCTGAATGGTATTACCTAGGTTTTCTTCTAGGGTTTTTATGGTTTTAGGTCTTATATTTAAGTCTTTATTCCATCTTGAGTTAATTTTTGTATAAGGTGTAAAGAAGGGGTCCAGTTTCAGTTTTCTGCATATGTCTAGCCAGTTTTCCCAGCACCATTTTTTAAATAGGGAATGCTTTTTCCATTGCTTTTGTCAGGTTTGTCAAAGATAAGACGGTTGTAGATGTGTGGCATTATTTATGGGTGATTGTTCTGTTCCATTGATCTATATTTCTGTTTTGGTACAAGTATCATTCTGTTTTGGTTACTGTAGCCTTGTAGTATAGTTTGAAGTAGGTAGCGTGATGCCTCCGGCTTTGTACTTTTTGCTTAGGATGGTCTTGGCTTTATGGGCTCTTTTTTGGTCCCATATGAAATTTAAAGTAGTTTCTTTCTAATTCTGTCAATGGTAGCTTAATGGGGATGGCACTGAATCTATAAATTACTTTGGGAAGTATGGCCATTTTCATGATATTGATTCTTCCTATTCGTTAGATGAAATGTTTCTCCATTTGTTTGTGTCCCCGCTTATTTCCTTGAGCAGCGGTCTGTGGTTTTCCTTGAAGAGGTTCTTCACATCCCTTGTAAGTTGTATTCCTGGGCAATTTATTCTCTTTGCAGTTATTGTAAATGGGAATTCAATCATGTCATCTGCAAATAGAGACAATTTTACTTCCTTTCGTCCTATTGAAATGCCTTTTATTTCTTTCTCTTGACTGATTACCCTGGCCAGAACATCCTATACTATGTCAAATAGGAGTGGTGAGAGAGGGCATCTTTGTCTTGTGCCAGTTTTCAAAGGGAATTCTTCCAGCTTTGGC